TAGTCTCTCTCAGGTCTCTCTCTGGTCTCTCTCTGGTCTCTCTCTGGTCTCTCTCTGGTCTCTCTCAGGTCTCTCTCTGGTCTCTCTCTGGTCTCTCTCTGGTCTCTCTCTAGTCTCTCTCTAGTCTCTCTCAGGTCTCTCTCTGGTCTCTCTCTGGTCTCTCTCTGGTCTCTCTCAGGTCTCTCTCAGGTCTCTCTCTGGTGTCTCTCTGGTCTCTCTCTAGTCTCTCTCTAGTCTCTCTCTGGTCTCTCTCTGGTCTGTCTCTGGTCTCTCTCTGGTCTCTCTCTGGTCTCTCTCAGGTCTCTCTCAGGTCTCTCTCTGGTGTCTCTCTGGTCTCTCACTCCCTTCTCTGCCTCCTCCTCTCTCTCGTCTCCTCACTATCGATTCATCTCGGGCTGCGCACTATTAAAAATGACTATGGTGGGTCTCTGGGAGTGACACACACAGACGCACGCACACACACACACAGAGACACACGCACGCACACACACACATTCTCACAGAGACAAACGCACGCACGCAGGCACGTACACACACACACATTCTCTCTCTCTCTCACACACACACAGAGACACACACGCACACACACACACAGAGACAAACGCACGCAGGCACGCACACACACACATTCTCTCTCTCTCTCACACACACACACACACACACACACAGTACTTTGTCAAATGAGTTATGGATTTTACTGTTCCTTTTGTGTAATGTGTAATGAAAGTAAATGGGAAATGTGGGACCAGATGTGAGCGTGTTTACAAGGATCTGGCAACAAAACTATAGCCCTGTTTCCACCAACTCTACTCTCTCTGGTCTCTCTCTGGTCTCTCTCTGGTCTCTCTCTCTGGTCTCTCTCTCTGGTCTCTCTCTCTGGTCTCTCTCTGGTCTCTCTCTAGTCTCTCTCTGGTCTCTCTCTGGTCTCTCTCTGGTCTCTCTCTGGTCTCTCTCTGGTCTCTCTCTGGTCTCTCTCTCTGGTCTCTCTCTGGTCTCTCTCTGGTCTAGTTTTTGGTGAGTGTATACCAGCAGAGAGTACCTCTGCCCTGAGCGTGGGTCATTGATGGTCAGTGTTACTCACAGCAGACTGACACATGGTGCTTTATGGTCTCTGTCCAGGACTCTGCAGCTGAGGTCAGCATCTGCCTCTGCCTGACCTCCTCCACTGACGGATGGCTGCCTCCTCTCTCTCCCACTTGTCTTGTCTCTCTGGTTTCTCTCTGGTCTCTCTCTGGTTTCTCTCTGGTCCCTCTCTGGTCTCTCTCTGGTTTCTCTCTCTGGTCCCTCTCTGGTCCCTCTCTGGTCTCTCTCTGGTTTCTCTCTCTGGTCTCTCTCTGGCCTCTCTCTGGTCTCTCTCTGGTCCCTCTCTGGTCTCTCTCTGGTTTCTCTCTGGTCTCATAACGTTTGACCTCTTTTCTGAATTGCACAGACAAATGAATGAAGATTTATTAAAAACAAAAGTAAAGAGAAAAACCAACAATTTACAAAGTCCATAGTACGTCTGAGACCAGGTCCAGTCCAGGTCCAGACCAGGACCAGACCAGGTCCAGACCAGGTCCAGATGAGGAGAATACTCCGGTCACTCATTACTCGTTGGTAATCTCCACACTTATGGAAAGGGATTCTCGTACAAATATACACACAACAACTTAAATACAAGCAAAGAACAGAAACACATGAATACTGCAGATAATACGAGATAAAGCACAGTAGCACAGGGAGGACGTTAGCTTAGCTGCTATTGATAGCTAAATGAAGCTAAATGTAGCTAGCTCACTGTGTACAACAGACAATCAAACATGTACACAGTAAATACATTTCAGTGAGAGCTTTAGGGGGTTCGTAGATAACCAGTTATTTCAGGGCGACAGTAGCTCAGTTGGTAGAGCATTGGCCTTTGAGCCTGAAGGTCGTGGGTTCGAGCCCACCGTAAGACCTACTTCACGACTCCCACTGATGACTGCTGTCGTTGTGTCCTTAGGCAAGACACTTAACTCCACTTTGCCTGAAGCCCTGCTGAAAGATCTCAGCTCCTGTGGACTCAGCACCTGCAGGAGGATCAGTGAGGGGCTGGTGCTCTGTGACTGGGTGCAGCACTGACTGCCACCCCTGACCCAGAAATGGATTAAGGGGAAGAAAATGGATGGATGGATGGCCAGTTATTTCAGGATTACCACAGACTAGTCACAAATCTAGAACAATCTCCTGAAAACTGTGTTGAGCCTCGAGCTGCCTTTGAATTCTTTCTTTGGCCTGAAGAGAGGAACGTGTGGACCTCGTCCACCGACCAGGACCAGGACTTTTGGGGCTTTCTGTGCAATTCCATTTCTCTGGAGTGAGGAGGACGTAATGTAGCCGAAGCAGAGCCGAGCAGAGCAGCCGGTTTTAAAGATGGCGGTTGAGTTGTTTTTCCCAAAGGGTCAGACGTCGCTTCCAGTGACGACACTCGTTGACCAATCAGTGTAAGGCAGTGGGCCGACGTGACGTCATGGTACCGGACAGAACCACTGTCGAGTTGGTACGAAAAAAGTATCCTTATCCCAAGCCCAACCCTTGTGGATATGCAAAATGACCGCGCCGTACCGTTACTGTGGAAAAGCAGCATTAGCTAGCATCCAGAGCTAGCATCAGTTAGCTAGCATCAGTCAGCTAGCATCAGTTAGCTAGCATCAGTTAGCTAGCATCCAGAGCTAGCATCAGTTAGCTAGCATCAGTCAGCTAGCATCAGTTAGCTAGCATCAGTTAGCTAGCATCCAGAGCTAGCATCAGTTAGCTAGCATCAGACCGGCCCTGGGAGTGAAGGTTGTTGGGTACTTCCTGTACCAAGGATGTAGCATGTTCCATTCTTCATGAGCACAAATATATTATTGAGTTCTTCCTTCAATCATTTAAAATATTTACTGCAGCTTTCGCCAAAGTTTTGTCCAGTTCTGTTTTGCGCCTCCATAATGGAACACAAAAGAATAACCACAGAAGAAGAAAAAGTTCAACCTTAAACCAACTCTTCTCAGAAAACAATGGAGACCTTCGTTTTAAGAGAAGAAGAAACAGCTTCAGACAAAATAAAGTTGGATTTTCCAAAAAAATTATAGTTTATAGTTAGGGGCGACTGTAGCTCAGTTGGTAGAGCAGTGGCCTTTGAGCCTGGAGGTCATGAGTTCGATTCCCACCATGAGACCTGCTCCCACTGATGTGTACTGTTGTTGTGTACTTGGGCAAGACACTTAACCCCACGTTGCCTGAAGCCCCTTCATGTCTTCTGTCTTCCGACAGAAGACATGTTTTATTGTCGATGGTAGAGACAGCACGAACAACACGAACAACAGAATGCAAGTGTATTATACAGAGCGGAGGCATGGAGACCTCCAATCAGCAGCTGCCACAGTGCCATGTAGCTTGGCCTTCAGATAGACACAACAAGGGAAAAGTACTGGCTTCTGCACATTGATAGAATGATGAGTTTAACTTTAACAAAAGTTGCTTCAAAGTGTTATGAAATCTCACACCCCCGCTGAAAGACCAAGGCTGTGGCACCACTGACGGAGCAGCCATCTTCCTGTGGACTCACCCCCTGCAGAGGATCAGAGGGACTGGTGCTATGAGCGTTGGGTGCAGCTCTCATTGCCACCCCCCCGACCCAGAAATGGACAATAAAGGGCTTGAGAATGAATGAATGAATGATAGTTTTCAGGTCTAAGTATTTGATCCAGTTCGAGAATCAGTAAAGTCAACCAGCCTAAGTTTTGGGTCTACAGCCTCAGTCCTGGGTCTACAGCCTCAGTCCTGGGTCTACAGCCTCAGTCCTGGGTCTACAGCCTCAGACCTGGGTCTACAGCCTCAGACCTGGGTCTACAGCCTCAGTCCTGGGTCTACAGCCTCAGTCCTGGGTCTACAGCCTCAGTCCTGAGTCTACAGCCTCAGTCCTGGGTCTACAGCCTCAGTCCTGGGTCTACAGCCTCAGTCCTGGGTCTACAGCCTCAGTCCTGGGTCTACAGCCTCAGTCCTGGGTCTACAGCCTCAGTCCTGGGTCTACAGCCTCAGTCCTGGGTCTACAGCCTCAGTCCTGGATCTACAGCCTCAGTCCTGGGTCTACAGCCTCAGACCTGGGTCTACAGGGATTGAGTCGAAAAGAACCAATCACACCTGGTTTTATATATACTTTATTAAAACATTTCCCTCCAACAGTTAAAGATTGTACATAATAATAATAATAATAATAATCATAACAACCGTAATATTTACCTTTGTAGTAATGTCGTGTGACATCACAGGCTCAGAGCGTGTTCTGTCAAGGCTTCAGTTTGTAGGAATGTACAGTGTAGGAAAAGAAATGACTCTCCCACATGTCTCTGTCTCCCCCATGTCTCTGTCTCCCCCATGTCTCTGTCTCCCCATGTCTCTGTCTCCCCCATGTCTCTGTCTCCCCCATGTCTCTGTCTCCCCCATGTCTCTGTCTCCCCCATGTCTCTGTCTCCCCCATGTCTCTGTCTCCCCCATGTCTCTGTCTCCCCCATGTCTCTGTCTCCCCCATGTCTCTGTCTCCCCCATGTCTCTGTCTCCCCCATGTCTCTGTCTCCCCATGTCTCTGTCTCCCCCATGTCTCTCTGTCTCCCCCATGTCTCTGTCTCCCCCATGTCTCTGTCTCCCCCATGTATCTCTGTCTCCCCCATGTCTCTGTCTCCCCCATGTATCTCTGTCTCCCCCATGTATCTCTGTCTCCCCCATCTCTCTCTGTCTCCCCCATCTCTCTCTCTCTCCCCCTCTCTCCCCCATGTCTCTCTGTCTCCCCCATGTCTCTGTCTCCCCATGTCTCTGTCTCCCCCATGTCTCTCTGTCTCCCCCATGTCTCTCTGTCTCCCCCATGTCTCTGTCTCCCCCATGTACCTCTGTCTCCCCCATGTCTCTGTCTCCCCCATGTATCTCTGTCTCCCCCATGTATCTCTGTCTCCCCCATCTCTCTCTCTCTCCCCCCTGTCTCTCTGTCTCCCCCTCTCTCCCCCATGTCCCTCTGTCTCCCCCTCTCTCCCCCATGTCCCTCTGTCTCCCCCTCTCTCCCCCATGTCCCTCTGTCTCCCCCTCTCTCCCCCATGTCTCTCTGTCTCCCCCTCTCTCCCCCATGTCCTCTGTCTCCCCCCTTCCCCATGTCCCTCTGTCTCCCCTCTCTCCCCCATGTCTCTCTGTCTCCCCCTCTCTCCCCCATGTCTCTCTGTCTCCCCCTCTCTCCCCCATGTCTCTCTGTCTCCCCCTCTCTCCCCCATGTCCCTCTGTCTCCCCCTCTCTCCCCCATGTCTCTCTGTCTCCCCCTCTCTCCCCCATGTCTCTCTGTCTCCCCTCTCTCCCCCATGTCTCTCTGTCTCCCCATGTCCCTCTGTCTCCCCCTCTCTCCCCCATGTCCCTCTGTCTCCCCCTCTCTCCCCCATGTCCCTCTGTCTCCCCCTCTCTCCCCCATGTCCCTCTGTCTCCCCCTCTCTCCCCCATGTCCCTCTGTCTCCCCCTCTCTCCCCCATGTCCCTCTGTCTCCCCCTCTCTCCCCCATGTCCCTCTGTCTCCCCTCTCCCCCCATGTCCCTCTGTCTCCCCCTCTCTCCCCCATGTCCCGCTGTCTGCTTCAGTCCAGTCTCACGGCAGTGGGCTCAGGCTGCAAACTGTCGTCAATAACGACTGAGATTCAGGAAACCAAAAACAGGGTAAAAGTGTCTAAAAAATAATCTGAGCATATTCTGACTGAGCCTAAAACTAGATTCTCAAATGGGACAAAGTTAAATGATATTATATTAAAAAGACACAGAAATGTCTCCTTTGGAACGAGGAAATAAAGCAACAGTTTTTAAAATAAGACTAAAAGACTGAACACTTTGATTTTTTGAAAGAGACCTTCACAGGCAATGCATTCTGGGACGTTGCAGATTTGCAACATTGGCCCTCTGTGGTAAATAGATCTGAGGAGACAAACCCAGAGGAGATAATCTAATAATCTACTTGTTCTGTGTCTATAAATATTCATCTTTCATTGGATGCAGTTTTGGTTTCACTTTCTCACAGGTCAGTCACGATGCTGACTTGAAAATCTGTGAAACCAAGACTGACATTTTGGAAGTGACACAGCAGCGCCCCCTGGTGATCAGGAGGAGAGCTGTGTGTTAATGAAGCTCAGTCCAGCAGTGGTACGTCTGAGGAAAACTGTCAAAAATGTGGATGTGGAGCAAAAAGAAAAGATATTCCTTTATTCTTCCCACAGCGGGAACATTTCAGGAAAGTTGTTGCAAATCTGCAACAATGGAGAGGGTTAACACAGTCAGAATGTGCTCAGGTTAAGATAAAAACAACTGGATTCAAGCATTTCTTACCTCGTATTTGAGCCGGAGAGTTTTCAGCCTCTGCCACAGATTTAAAACTGCTTTTTTTTTAGACAGAAAGGTGAAAAATAACAGGACCAGACTCACTTATTTTAATCAGATCTGTGTGATGGACTCAATTTGGTTTCATTGTTTAACGTTTGGGGAAAAAAACAGAAGTGACTGAAAGTGAAAATTCAGGGACAGCAGCTTTAAAGTCGTTCTCACAGTCACAGCCCGAGTCTCACTGACGGAAAGTGCTGAGGCTGGAAATGTCCCACAGGCAGCGAACGCACCATCATTACACGCATACACACACACACACACACACACACACACACACACACACACACACACACACACACACCTGTATACAGACACACACACACATTCTTACTCATGCAAACAAATACACACACACACCTGTATACAGACACACACGTATACAAACACATGCACACACACACATTCAAACACACAGATACATACACATACACAGACATGCAAACACACACACTTCTCTAAGCAAAACCAGACTGATTTGCCACCAATCTTCTTCTTATACATTCCCAAGATGGCCGCCGGTCCCTCCCTCGCTCTCCCACCCTCTCCCACACCCTCTCCCCCTCCCTCCTGCACCCTCTCCCTCCCTCCCCCCTCCACACTGAGTGCTCTGTCCTTTCGGGGGCGAGACAGAATCCACAGGAAATGCCAAAGATGCAACAACAAAATGACCTTTGTAGAAAAACAGGAGTCCACTTTACATCGAGTTGTTCCGATTGTCTGTTCAGTAAGAAACGGTTAAAAACACAGGACCACCCAAAGCGTAGAGCAACACTCCAGCAGTTCGTACGGTTGTGTACGGTTGTGTACGGTTGTGTACAGTTGTGTATGTTTGCAACGGGGCAGGTGGTGCTGACACTCTCCGTCCCGGTCAGAGAGAGGTCTGGGTCGGAAAAGGACCCGAGTTCTGACCCTTCACACAGGCCACAGAGATATACAAGGTTCTAGAGAGGGTCCAATCCCAGTCGCCGCCTCCTGGGGTCAAATTCTACTCTGGAAGTCAAACAAACATTTTTTTAATATCTGTAATAACGTCTATGTTCTCCCAATGAGTTGTAGAAATTGCGCAGGAACGACTGGATCAGAGGCTAAACTCATGGACTGTGTATAGATGGATGCTAACCTGCTAGCTCTGTGAAGCCCAATCAGGAAGTACTAATAGACAAAATGTATCTATCTTTTTATCTTGGGACAGGGGTTTACGTGGTGAGAGCCAGATCCTGTCAGATTTCTGAAGCTAAGCAGGTCAGGGTATGGTTTCCGCTGTGATGGGAGACCAGGTGGAGGTTTTTAAATATGACAAATATTTACGGCTTTATGGAAACTACTTAATACTGTTGTTTTGAACGTGTGATGTCATAGTGGTACAATGACATCACACTATTACATCTTTGAGACAGAAGGGGCGGAGCTACAGGTTTGTGCCAGAAGTCTATGATATTAGCGTTGTTGTGAAATTGAGAAAAGACAGAAAAAGTCTTATGTATTACTATTGGGAAACTCAAAGTATATCATTTGTATCCACATGGTACGTCCGCCACTTCTACAGAGTAATGTTAAGTTTATAGTTTGGTCTTGGTCTATGTTTCTATACCCTCTGCTTTAATGTAAGACTTTGATGACCCTGTTTCACATACTTCCTGTTAGATTTCCGCTCTTTTGAAAATGCAAGACGACATTATTGGCTCTCTCTAGTTCCTTGTGTATCACTCTGTCTCACACACCATCGAGGGGCGTCATGAGTCCAGGACGTCCTGAGCCGGCGTGGGTTCGTGGGGCAGGCTGGTGGCGTTGGGCAGCGGCTGCGGATGTGTGACCGAGTTCTGCTGCAGCTCCAGAGCCATGGCGTTCTGCGGGTGAGGGAACTCCTTCACCTGCTTACGGTACTCCAAGAAAGTGGAGGCCTTGGTCGCGATCGCCACCACGTTCTTCCCCACGAAGATGGTGGATACCCGGCTGTCCTGGAACAGAACCATGTTGACCCCGCGGATGAGGATGGTCACGATGTTGATGGTGACCAGACTCAAGACCGGGTAGAGCATCATCTTCTGCGGCGACATGTGCTCGCCTTGCATGCTAATCTCGCTCAAAGAAACGCACGGTAGGATGAGGAGGAGGATGTAGCAGTAGAAGAACATCAGCCCCTCGGCCCAGATAGGCAGCCCTGTTCGCTGGGGTTCCCAAAGGTTCGCCTGGATGTCTAGAAGGTCCAAAAGATCCAGAGCGACCCAGAACAAACGACTACGCATGTCCTCCTTCCTGCGAAAAGTCCTCACGTACTCCATACTATCCAACGCCACGAGGACCAAGTACAAACCCGGCACGCACACCGACAGCAGCAACGTCAATGCTTTCCGTGCTACCGTCTCCAGACTCTTGCGGTCCGCTTTGCAATTCTGGAAAACGAAGTAGAGTTTGATCTCCAGGACGAAGATGTAGAGGAACCAGAGGATCATGGCGTATCCCCTGCGCGCCGTGCGGACCTCGGCGCCGACCCAGACCGCCACGTACCGCAGCACGATGAGGAAACACACGTCCCCCACCAGCACGATGATGCACACGCCGATCTTCCGCGGGCCCTGGTTCTGCTCCACCAGGTAGGCGTCCATGAAGGCCATGCTGGTCATGATCACGATGGTGGTCAGGCACACGTGGCGCTTGTCGGGCGGAGGCAGGACCATGGTGCCACGAACGCAAAGACGTCAGAAACTCAACGAGAAAAAAGGTGGAGCTCAGGTCTGAATTCACTGAGTTTTGTTTGAGTCTGAGGTTTTACTTCCTACGTCAATACGGCTTCAAAAAGTAGACAGAAATCATCAACGATCGAATTTGAATCCTTTCCAAGCAACAAAATATGCGTTATTATTACATCCAGTATGAATTGTATAAGATCCTTGGAATAATGTTGCTTCTGGACATGTGGGCTTTGACTCAAATCAATTTCTTGTTAAAAATGTGGAAGAAAATTAGCGTTTTTTAAGCTCCTGTTTCTTAATCCCCCTTTAAAATCAAATCTCAAGTCTGTGTAGAAAAACTCTCAGGCCGCGTGGAGACGGGACCCTGGCTCGTTCTTCAGCGCACTTCCATCGATCTGGCCTTGGGCTCTTTGTCCGACACCGTGAATAATGGCCGCCACGTGGCTCGGCACTCACGGCGCTCTGTTCTAACGCACACGTGACGCGCCACAAACTTTATGGAAGCGTTTAATCTCCGTCCAGCCCGAGGCGTGAGTGCTTCCTCCGCCGATGATGCAGTGTCTTGGGGAGCGGCGGCAGAGGAGGGGTGTCCCGGCGGAGGTAGTGAGGAGGTGGGGGTCCGCGGTGGCCTCCAGTCGCCATAAATCACCGGAGCGGTAGGTCAGCAGCCCGCCAGGCCGCACGACAGGCAGCGGCGTCCCCGGGGGGAGGCTCCGAACGCCACGGATTGGAGATCCATCTTTACCGCTGCCCCCCCTGGTCAGCGTCCACGAGCCGGCCTTTCCGCAGCCTGGGAACAGAGGGATGAGGGGAGAGGGGGGAGAGAGAGGGGGAGGAGGAGAGAAAGAAGCGGTCAGCACTCCTGGGTAATATAACACAGCTTTCATTGGCAGCAGCGTCATATATGAGGAGCCAGAGAGCGTCCACACGGCTCCAGGAAGTACAGCTCTGGCTTTATCTCAGACGTCAGGAAGAAGAAGAAATACTGCACTTCTGCTCTCTCTCTCTCTCTGGTCTTTCTCTGGTCTCTCTCTGGTCTCTCTCTCTGGTCTTTCTCTGGTCTCTCTCTGGTCTCTCTGTCTGGTCTCTCTCTCTGGTCTCTCTCTGGTCTCTCTCCGGTCTCTCTGTGGTCACTCTCTGGTCTCTCTCTAGTCTCTCTGGTCACTCTCCGGTCTCTCTCTGGTCTCTCTCTAGTCTCTCTTGCTGGTCTCTCTCTTTTTCTATCTAGAGACAATGGGTGGGTTCATAACCTGTAGATGTGAGGAAATGGGTTACAGACATCAGGAAGAAGAATAAATATTGCGCTTGTGCTCTCTCTCTGGTCTCTCTCTCTCTTGTTCCTCTCTCTAGTCTCTCTTACTGGATTCTCACTGGTTTCTCTCTGGTCTCTCTCTGGGCTCTCTCTCTCGTCCCTCTCTCTGGTCTCTCTCCAATCTCTTCCTCTGATCTCTTTCTCTAATCCTTGGTCTCTGTCTAATCTCCCACTGGTCTCCCACTGGTCTCTCTCTCTTGCTGGTCTCTCTTTCTATCAAGAGACAATGGTTGGGTTCATAACCTGAATATTTGAGGGAATGGGTGGAGTCTAGAGAGCTGGTTGGACACCCATGGTTTGGACGATCCATTTTGCTAACTATGTCTCCTTTAAGATTCGAGTCAAAGCAGTGGGACCGGTACGAGCCCGATCCCTCTCCTCGTGATTACACACAACACACACAGTCTTTCTCTGATCTACAACACGCCACTTTCTGTCCCATGCCGCTGTAAATACATGCATTTCAATGAGGTTGACATAAATTCTTGAGCAAAGAGACTCCGGCTTCGGCACAAAAACATAAAAGAAAAAAACATCTCATTGCAGCAAAACAAACGAGTCCATTTAGATTCAAAGAGAAACACGGATCGTAAATCTCCAGGCGGTGGCCTTTTAGCTCAAAGGTTTTCTTCTGTATTTTACTTTAAACAGTTTCGTCTCACTTTAAACAGTCACAGTAGAGTGAGTCTGAAAGTAGGAGAAGCTGATGTGAAGTCTATTAACCCTGAAGGTAAATGTGTCCTCTGTCTGGAGCACACCGCAAACACTGATGGGAAAAAGTCTAAAAACGTCTCTTAATTTGGGCACATTTTGACTGCTTTAAAACAAGATTCTCCAACGGGACAAAACAAAATGAACTTGTTTTAAAAAGATACAAGAAATGTCTGCATTTGACCCATTCTTTACTCTTTTTGAGCTCTATATAGCACTTAAAGGTCCTCTGTGTAATTTTACAGTTGCTCCAAATGTAAAAACCATTTTAACCAATAAAAAATGACCTTTTTAAGAATATTGACCTCCACCATGTTTTTTAATTGTTTTTATAGAGGTAGGCCCAATTCCGATACCCACACTGCCCCCTACAGTCCTCTACGGCCCAATCCCAACACCCACACTGCCCCCTACAGTCCTCTACTGCCCAATCCCAACACCCACACTGCCCCCTACAGTCCTCTACGGCCCAATCCCAACACCCACACTGCCCCCTACAGTCCTCTACTGCCCAATCCCAACACCCACACTGCCCCCTACAGTCCTCTACGGCCCAATCCCAACACCCACACTGCCCCCTACAGTCCTCTACGGCCCAATCCCAACACCCACACTGCCCCCTACAGTCCTCTACGGCCCAATCCCAACACCCACACTGCCCCCTACAGTCCTCTACGGCCCAATCCCAACACCCACACTGCCCCCTACAGTCCTCTACGGCCCAATCCCAACACCCACACTGCCCCCTACAGTCCTACAGGCCCAATCCCAACACCCACACTGCCCCCTACAGTCCTCTACGGCCCAATCCCAACACCCACACTGCCCCCTACAGTCCTCTACGGCCCAATCCCAACACCCACACTGCCCCCTACAGTCCTCTACGGCCCAATCCCAACACCCACACTGCCCCCTACAGTCCTCTACGGCCCAATCCCAACACCCACACTGCCCCCTACAGTCCTCTACGGCCCAATCCCAGCACCCACACTGCCCCCTACAGTCCTCTACGGCCCAATCCCAACACCCACACTGCCCCCTACAGTCCTCTACGGCCCAATCCCACACCCACACTGCCCCCTACAGTCCTCTACTGCCCAATCCCAACACCCACACTGCCCCCTACAGTCCTCTACTGCCCAATCCCAACACCCACACTGCCCCCTACAGTCCTCTACTGCCCAATCCCAACACCCACACTGCCCCCTACAGTCCTGCTACGGCCCAATCCCAACACCCACACTGCCCCCTACAGTCCTCTACTGCCCAATCCCAACACCACACACTGCCCCCTACAGTCCTCTACGGCCCAATCCCAACACCCACACTGCCCCCTACAGTCCTCTACGCCAACTGCCCCTACAGTCCAACACACCACAGTCCTCTACGGCCCAATCCTCACATCCCAACACCCACACTGCCCCCTACAGTCCTCTACGGCCCCCAGTCCTCTACGCCCAATCCCAACACCCACACTGCCCCCTACAGTCCTCTACGGCCCAATCCCAACACCCACACTGCCCCTACAGTCCTCTACGGCCATCCACACACGTCATCCTCTACGGCCCAATCCCAACACCCACACTGCCCCCTACAGTCCTCTACTGCCCAATCCCAGCACCCACACTGCCCCCTACAGTCCTCTACGGCCCAATCCCAACACCCACACTGCCCCCTACAGTCCTCTACTGCCCAATCCCAACACCCACACTGCCCCCTACAGTCCTCTACTGCCCAATCCCAACACCCACACTGCCCCCTACAGTCCTCTACGGCCCAATCCCAACACCCACACTGCCCCCTACAGTCCTCTACTGCCCAATCCCAACACCCACACTGCCCCCTACAGTCCTCTACTGCCCAATCCCAACACCCACACTGCCCCCTACAGTCCTCTACTGCCCAATCCCAACACCCACACTGCCCCCTACAGTCCTCTACTGCCCAATCCCAACACCCACACTGCCCCCTACAGTCCTCTACTGCCCAATCCCAACACCCACACTGCCCCCTACAGTCCTCTACTGCCCAATCCCAACACCCACACTGCCCCCTACAGTCCTCTACTGCCCAATCCCAACACCCACACTGCCCCCTACAGTCCTCTACTGCCCAATCCCAACACCCACACTGCCCCCTACAGTCCTCTACTGCCCAATCCCAACACCCACACTGCCCCCTACAGTCCTCTACTGCCCAATCCCAACACCCACACTGCCCCCTACAGTCCTCTACGGCCCAATCCCAGCACCCACACTGCCCCCTACAGTCCTCTACTCCCAATCCCAACACCCACACTGCCCCCTACAGTCCTCTACAGCCCAATCCCAACACCCACACTGCCCCCTACAGTCCTCTACTGCCCAATCCCAACACCCACACTGCCCCCTACAGTCCTCTACAGCCCAATCCCAACACCCACACTGCCCCCTACAGTCCTCTACTGCCCAATCCCAACACCCACACTGCCCCCTACAGTCCTCTACGCCCAATCCCAGCACCCACACTGCCCCCTACAGTCCTCTACGGCCCAATCCCAGCACCCACACTGCCCCCTACAGTCCTCTACAGCCCAATCCCAACACCCACACTGCCCCCTACAGTCCTACCTATTGTACATGTTTATAGTGGTAGGGGAAACCGGAGCACCCTGAGGAAACCTAAGGAGAACATGCAAACTCCACTCAGAAAGCCCTTGTTCCGACTGGGATCCGAACCCAGGACCGACTTGCAGAGAAACGAGAACACGAACCACTCAGCCGCTAAGCTACACAGGCATGTACTCTGACGGCGTGTTGCTAAGACGGTTGCTAAGGCAAGCTAGACTCTCTCCCCCGTGATTGGTCAATACATAAACACCGGAGTCACAAAGAGAGATTCACCAGATTTTTTTAAGCCCAAAATAGTGAGAATGAAACAAACGATGACTGAGCTGGAGGAGTTTGATTTTACATGGAAGTCAATAGGAGCCAAACTTCACCATGAGCACTTCCCTATTCTTGTGTTTCATTGAGCTAGCGTGTTAGCATATCTATAGTCTATGGGGCGACAGTGGCTCAGTTGGTAGAGAATTGACCTTTTGAGCCTGAAGGTTGTGGGTTCGAGACTTTCTCCACTGACTCCACTGATGTCTGCTGTCGTTGTGTCCTTGGGCAAGACACTTAATCCACTTCGACTATAAGGAAGTAATGTTCTCTGCCTTGATGTGTTTCTTCTTTGATATTGTATTAGTTTTCTTGCTTTTTTCTCTCTTGGATCCAGGTTCTTCCCACGTCTAGACTCGTTCTAAAAAAGCCCGGAGCTCTGTGGCTGCTCGCTCGACCCAGATTACATTACAACGCTAATTAACGAGCATTTAAAGCTAACAGGAAGTGATAATTGAATGAGTCAGAGGAGCGAGACTTAGGGTTGAATGAAGTCTTTGCTCTGAGGTCGGGCATCGAACCCAGACACCGACACCACGAGTTCTGAAAGGAGCAGACGGAGCCATGTGGAGATGGAAGTGTCACTCAGCGCCGCCCCCTGCTGGTGGTGGGTCCTCAAACACATTCACAGTGAGGGTCTGGGTTGTTGCCGAATTAAATGAATGTCAATCGTATTTTAATTGGCGTCGACTTTGAGACTGGGTTCATTGACGGCAGCAGCAGCGTCATTAGCGCCGGGTGTCTGACTTTAAATAAAAATAATAATAATATATTTATTTTCTGACCCAACAGAGAGACTTGATTTAGCAAAATGTGTCCTGTACTTTTTATGTAGAGGAAACCGGAGCACCCAGAGGAAACCGGAGCACCCAGAGGAAACCGGAGCACCCAGAGGAAACCGGAGCACCCAGAGGAAACCGGAGCACCCAGAGGAAACCGGAGCACCCAGAGGAAACCGGAGGACCCAGAGGAAACCGGAGCACCCAGAGGAAACCGGAGGACCCAGAGGAAACCGGAGCACCCAGAGGAAACCGGAGGACCCAGAGGAAACCACCATTACACCCATTTGTGAATTCATCACCAATCCTAGACACCTTTGTGAGAAAATAATGAGACCATAGTTAATAGAGACCAGAGAAAGACAAAAGAGAGACCAGAGAGAGAAACCTGAGAGAGAGACCAGAGAGAGACCAGAGAGAGAGACCAGAGAGAGAGACCAGAGAGAGAGACCTGAGAGAGAGACCTGAGAGAGACCAGAGAGAGACCAGAGAGAGAGACCAGAGAGAGACCTGAGAGAGACCAGAGAGAGACCAGAGAGAGAGACCAGAGAGAGAGACCAGAAAGAGGCCAGAGAGAGAGACCAGAGAGAGACCAGAGAGAGACCAGAGAGAGAGACCAGAGAGAGAGACCAGAAAGAGGCCAGAGAGAGAGACCAGAGAGAGAGACCTGAGAGAGAGACCAGAGAGAGACCTGAGAGAGACCAGAGAGAGGCCAGAGAGAGAGACCAGAGAGAGAGACCTGAGAGAAAGACCAGAGAGAGACCTGAGAGAGACCTGAGAGAGACCTGAGAGAGACCAGAGAGAGGCCAGAGAGAGACCAGAGAGAGACCAGAGAGAGACCAGAGAGAGACCAGAGAGGTACCATGAGAAACTAGAGATAGAGCAAGAGTCTTCCACTGTGTGTCAGAACTACTGACAAGAAGCCAAACTACAAAAATGGCGGCCCACTTTCCCACTTCCTCCTTGCTGTGATTGGACAGATGCGTTACAGGAATAGAATCAAATCAAACTCTAGTTGTGACGAACCCTTTACTTTCACCCATCCCTCGACTGAACCACGCCTTTACTGTAAACTTTAATTTCCCAAACCCTCTGTGATGTTATAGTATCTCTGTGGACCGCTTTAGCTAACAGGTGTTTTAGCTAACAGGCGCTTTAGCTAACAGGCGCAGAGACCGTCTCCATCTGGACACATTCAGTTTGGGAACAAATCATCCAGTCTTTTCCCCGTCTCCGGTCCGCGGCGCTCGCAGGGTAATGGCCGCCCGGCATATGGCAGACTCTCTCGTGCACGGTCAACTCGTAAATCGCCGCCTCGTAAACGCCACCGGTGCAGACTGGATCGGTCGCCGCCATCGTGCTGAGGAAAGTTTGGTTTGTTCTGAAATGTTTCTTATTGAAAGGATGCAGCAGGAGGCCAGTCCCTGTGCTCCTCAGAGTCCCAGCAGGAGGCCAGTCCCTGTGCTCCTTAGAGTCCCAGCAGGAGGCCAGTCCCTGTGCTCCTCAGAGTCCCAGCAGGAGACCAGTCCCTGTGGTCCTCAGAGTCCCAGCAGGAGGCCAGTCCCTGTGCTCCTCAGAGTCCCAGCAGGAGGCCAGTCCCTGTGCTCCTCAGAGTCCCAGCAGGAGGCCAGTCCCTGTGCTCCTCAGAGTCCCAGCAGAGGCCAGTCCCTGTGCTCCTCAGAGTCCCAGCAGGAGGCCAGTCCCTGTGCTCCTCAGAGTCCCAGCAGGAGGCCAGTCCCTGTGCTCCTCAGAGTCCCAGCAGGAGGCCAGTCCCTGTGCTCCTCAGAGTCCCAGCAGGAGGCCAGTCCCTGTGCTCCTCAGAGTCCCAGCAGGAGGCCAGTCCCTGTGCTCCTCAGAGTCCCAGCAGGAGGCCAGTCCCTGTGCTCCTCAGAGTCCCAGCAGGAGTCCAGTCCCTGTGCTCCTCAGAGTCCCAGCAGGAGGCCAGTCCCTGTGCTCCTCAGAGTCCCAGCAGGAGGCCAGTCCCTGTGCTCCTCAGAGTCCCAGCAGGAGGCCAGTCCCTGTGCTCCTCAGAGTCCCAGCAGGAGGCCAGTCCCTGTGCTCCTCAGAGTCCCAGCAGGAGGCCAGTCCCTGTGCTCCCAGAGTCCCAGCAGGAGGCCAGTCCCTGTGCTCCTCAGAGTCCCAGCAGGAGGCCAGTCCCTGTGCTCAGAGTCCCAGCAGGAGGCCAGTCCCTGTGCTCAGAGTCCCAGCAGAGGCCATCATCATTATTGACACCAGACGAGACAAACCTGAATCATAAAGTAAATAAAAAAGAGATTTTAAAAAGTCAGATTCTAAATTTTCAAGTCCTTTACAATTAGTCAAAATGATCTGGACCAGAGGAGACCGACTGGGACCAGAGGAGACCAATCAGGACTAGAGGAGACCAATCGGGACCAGAGTCTCCTCTGGTCCCGACCTGGACCAGAGGAGACCGACCTGGACCAGAGGAGACCGATTGGGACCAGAGAAGACCAATTGGGACCAGAGGAGACCGACCTGGACCAGAGGAGACCGACCTGGACCAGAGGAAACCAATCGGGACCAGAGGAGACCGACTGGGACCAGAGGAGACCAACCGGGACTAGAGGAGACCAATCGGGACCAGAGGAGACCGACCTGGACCAGAGGAGACCGATTGGGACCAGAGGAGACCGATTGGGACCAGAAGAGACAAATTGGGACCAGAGGAGACCAATCGGGACCAGAGGAGACCGACCTGGACCAGAGGAGACCGATCGGGACCAGAGGAAACTGATCGGGACCAGAGGAGACCGACCGGGACCAGAGGAGACCGACCGGGACCAGAGGAGACCAACCGGGACCAGAAGAGACCGACTGGGACCAGAGGAGATCGTTTGGGACCAGAGGAGACAGACTGGGACCAGAGAAGACCGACTGGGACCAGAGGAGACCAACTGGGACCAGAGGAGACCGACTGGGACCAGAGGAGACCAACTGGGACCAGAGGAGACCGACTGGGACCAGAGGAGACCAACTGGGACCAGAGGAGACCGACTGGGACCAGAGGAGACCGACTGGGACCAGAGGAGACCGATCCCCTGTCCTCAGCTCAAACACAAACACATCAGAGTCTTATTTCTCGCGACACTCGAGCTGAAAAGTCAAATCTCTTTTTTTTCCGATCTCGTCGTTGTTTTTGCGTCGAGAAACCCACACGTTAAAGAACGCTATCACAGAACTGTCTTCCGGAGTCACAGAGCCTCATTAGCATCCGCGGCGTGAGTCTGAATGCTAACGGGCTATTATGTAGAACAGTTACTCATTAAATTCATGAAATGCTGATTAATTGAGTGATTAGCGAGAAGCCGAGGACCGTTGGCGCCTGTGAAGCGGCGACACTGGAATCTACTGTACGGCGGCGGCGGAGACGGAGACGGCGGAGACGGCGGCGGCGGAGACGGAATGCTTTGCTAACGATGGAACGACAGAACACAGTAAACGGTTGGATTTAGATTTAATCAAACGACATAGTTAAATTTAAATTTAGTTTCTTTATGGTCTGGGTTCATTTCTATTTGTCTCAGTGATAATACCAGAGGAGACAGACCAGGACAGACCGGGACCAGAGGAGACCGACCAGGACCAGAGGAGACAGACCAGGACCAGAGGAGACAGACCAGGACCAGAGGAGACAGACCAGGACCAGAGGAGACTGACAGGGACCAGAGGAGACTGACAGGGACCAGAGGTGACCCACCAGGATTAAAAGAGACCGACAAGGACTAGAGGAGACCGACCAGGACTAGAGGAGACAGACCAGGACCAGAGGAGACCGACAGGGACCAGAGGTGACCCACCAGGATTAGAAGAGACCGACAAGGACTAGAGGAGACCGACCAGGACTAGAGGAGACAGACCAGGACCAGAGGAGACAGACCAGGACCAGAGGAGACAGACCAGGACCAGAGGAGACAGACCAGGACCAGAGGAGACAGACCAGGACCAGAGGAGACTGACAGGGACCAGAGGAGACTGACAGGGACCAGAGGTGACCCACCAGGATTAAAAGAGACCGACAAGGACTAGAGGAGACCGACCAGGACTAGAGGAGACAGACCAGGACCAGAGGAGACCGACAGGGACCAGAGGTGACCCACCAGGATTAGAAGAGACCGACCAGGACAAGAGGAGACCGACCAGGACCAGAGGAGACAGACCAGGACCAGAGGAGACAGACCAGGACCAGAGGAGACAGACCAGGACCAGAGGAGACAGACCAGGACCAGAGGAGACAGACCAGGACCAGAGGAGACTGACAGGAACCAGAGGTGACCCACCAGGATTAAAAGAGACCGACAAGGACTAGAGGAGACCGACCAGGACTAGAGGAGACAGACCAGGACCAGAGGAGACCGACAGGGACCAGAGGTGACCCACCAGGATTAGAAGAGACCGACAAGGACTAGAGGAGACCGACCAGGACCAGAGGAGACTGACCAGTACCAGAGGAGACTGACCAGTACCAGAGGAGACTGACCAGGACCAGAGGAGACAGACCAGGACCAGAGGAGACTGACCGGACCAGAGGAACTTAAAACCATTTCTTTGCTGAATGCTTTTGCTTGATTTTTCTGCTGTTTTAAATCCGTCTCTGAAAAGTGTCGGCCATTTCTTTGAACACAAATTGGACAGCTAAAATCTGGAGCAGTCTTCCTGAAAATATGAGACAGGCTTCTTCTCTGCAGTGTTCAGATCCAGGTTCAAAACAGTTCTATTTAGCCGTGCTACAACTCCACCTTTTAAATTCACTGTGATTATTTAATGACTTCAATGGTTTTAGATGTTATTGTTCCTTTTGTTGTTCTGAGTATCCTTGTGTGTGACCTGTGCTATACAGATAAACTGGCCTGGTCTTGCCTGAAGTGGCCAGAACGTTTTACCCTGGTTCTGATCCGTCTTCCCCTCGTTCCCATGAATAAAACCTGCTCTGTCTGTGTCTGGGCTTTCATGCGACATCACACCCCGAATGGAAGCTGATGAATCCTGACGTTAAAAGTCCCTCATTACATCCTCCTGTCGCACCGAGGAGCAGAGGCCTTGTGTCTCCAGCCGTAGCCGCAGCCGCCCTGGTTTGCACACGATCCCAGTCCGGCAGATAAAGACCCCGCGGAGGGTTCTCAGACTGTGGGACGCAGACGAGGATCGGAAATGTGATCCGACAGCTGTGACCGATATCAATCTGTGTCTCTGACTGGTTGGAGCCCTCAGTCATGAAGCTAGCATGTGCTGTGGAAGCTAGCATGCGCTGAAGAAGCTAACACGAACTGTACAAGCTAGCATTCGCTGTAGAAGCTAGCATGCACTGTAGAAGCTAACATTTGCTGTAGAAGCTAGCATGTGCTGTAGAAGCTAGCATGCACTGTAGAAGCTAACATTTGCTGTAGAAGCTAGCATTCGCTGTAGAAGCTAGCATGCACTGTAGAAGCTAACATTTGCTGTAGAAGCTAGCATGTGCTGTAGAAGCTAGCTATCACGATACTTTGATATTTAACATATCACATTACTTTGAAATTTAACATATCACGATACTTTGAAATTTAACATATCACGATACTTTGATTTTTAACATATCACGATACTTTGATATTTAACATATCGCGATACTTTTATATTTAACATATCGCGATACTTTGATATTTAACATATCGCGATACTTTGATATTTAACATATCACAATACTTTGATATTTAACATATCGCGATACTTTTATATTTAACATATCGCGATACTTTTATATTTAACATATCGCGATACTTTGATATTTAACATATCGCGATACTTTGATATTTAACATATCACAATACTTTGATATTTAACATATCGCGATACTTTTATATTTAACATATCGCGATACTTTGATATTTAACATATCGCGATACTTTGATATTTAACATATCACAATACTTTGATATTTAACATATCACGATACTTTGATATTTAACATATCGCGATACTTTGATATTTAACATATCACGATACTTTGATATTTAACATATCACAATACTTTGATATTTAACATATCACGATACTTTGATATTTAACATATCACGATACTTTGATATTTAACATATTGCGATACTTTGATATTTAACATATTATGAAGGCGGGTAATCACACAGACCTCTCTCTCTCTCACACACAGACCTCTCTCTCTCACACACACAGACCTCTCTCTCTCACACACACAGACCTCTCTCTCTCACACAGACCTCTCTCTCTCACACACACAGACCTCTCTCTCTCACACACACAGACCTCTCTCTCACACACAGACCTCTCTCACACACACGGACCTCTCTCTCTCTCACACACAGACCTCTCTCTCTCTCACACACAGACCTCTCTCTCTCTCACACAGACCTCTCTCTCTCTCACACACAGACCTCTCTCTCTCTCACACACAGACCTCTCTCACACACACGGACCTCTCTCTCTCTCACACAGACCTCTCTCTCTCTCACACACAGACCTCTCTCTCTCTCACACACAGACCTCTCTCTCTCTCACACACAGACCTCTCTCACACACACGGACCTCTCTCTCTCACACACAGACCTCTCTCTCTCTCACACACAGACCTCTCTCACACACACGGACCTCTCTCTCTCACACACACAGACCTCTCTCTCTCTCACACACACAGACCTCTCTCTCTCTCACACACACACAGACCTCTCTCTCTCTCACACACACAGACCTCTCTCTCTCACACACACAGACCTCTCTCTCTCACACACACAGACCTCTCTCTCACACACAGACCTCTCTCTCTCACACACACAGACCTCTCTCTCACACACAGACCTCTCTCTCTCTCACACACACAGACCTCTCTCTCTCACACACACAGACCTCTCTCTCTCACACACACAGACCTCTCTCTCACACACAGACCTCTCTCTCTCACACACACAGACCTCTCTCACACACACAGACCTCTCTCACACACACGGACCTCTCTCTCTCACACACAGACCTCTCTCTCTCTCACACAGACCTCTCTCTCTCTCACACACAGACCTCTCTCTCTCTCACACACAGACCTCTCTCTCTCACACACACAGACCTCTCTCTCTCTCACACACACAGACCTCTCTCTCTCTCACACACAGACCTCTCTCTCTCTCACACACAGACCTCTCTCTCTCTCACACAGACCTCTCTCTCTCTCTCTCACACAGACCTCTCTCTCACACACACAGACCTCTCTCTCTCTCTCACACAGACCTCTCTCTCTCTCACACACACAGACCTCTCTCTCTCACACACACAGACCTCTCTCTCTCACACACACAGACCTCTCTCTCTCTCACACACAGACACCTCTCTCTCTCACACACACAGACCTCTCTCTCTCACACACACAGACCTCTCTCTCTCACACACACAGACCTCTCTCTCTCTCACACACAGACCTCTCTCTCTCACACAGACCTCTCTCTCTCTCACACACACAGACCTCTCTCTCTCACACACACAGACCTCTCTCTCACACACACAGACCTCTCTCTCACACACACACAGACCTCTCTCTCTCACACACACAGACCTCTCTCTCACACACACAGACCTCTCTCTCTCTCACACACACAGACCTCTCTCTCTCTCTCACACACAGACCTCTCTCTCACACACAGACCTCTCTCTCACTCACACAGACCTCTCTCACACACACAGACCTCTCTCACACACACGGACCTCTCTCTCTCACACACAGACCTCTCTCTCTCTCACACAGACCTCTCTCTCTCTCACACACAGACCTCTCTCTCACACACACACAGACCTCTCTCTCTCTCTCACACACACAGAGCTCTCTCTCTCTCACACACACAGACCTCTCTCTCTCTCACACACAGACCTCTCTCTCTCTCACACACAGACCTCTCTCTCTCACACACACAGACCTCTCTCTCTCTCTCACACAGACCTCTCTCTCTCTCTCACACACAGACCTCTCTCTCACACACACACAGACCTCTCTCTCTCTCTCACACACACAGAGCTCTCTCTCTCTCACACACACAGACCTCTCTCTCTCTCACACACAGACCTCTCTCTCTCTCACACACACAGACTCTCTCTCTCACACACACAGACCTCTCTCTCTCTCTCACACAGACCTCTCTCTCTCTCACACACACAGACCTCTCTCTCTCACACACACACAGACCTCTCTCTCTCTCACACACACAGACCTCTCTCTCTCACACACACAGACCTCTCTCTCTCACACACACAGACCTCTCTCTCTCACACACACAGACCTCTCTCTCTCTCACACACAGACCTCTCTCTCTCTCACACACACAGACCTCTCTCTCTCACACACACAGACCTCTCTCTCACACACAGACCTCTCTCTCTCACACACACAGACCTCTCTCTCACACACAGACCTCTCTCTCTCTCACACACACAGACCTCTCTCTCTCACACACACAGACCTCTCTCTCTCTCACACACACAGACCTCTCTCTCACACACAGACCTCTCTCTCTCACACACACAGACCTCTCTCTCACACACAGACCTCTCTCTCTCTCACACACACAGACCTCTCTCTCTCACACACACAGACCTCTCTCTCACACACAGACCTCTCTCTCTCACACACACAGACCTCTCTCACACACACAGACCTCTCTCACACACACGGACCTCTCTCTCTCACACACAGACCTCTCTCTCTCTCACACAGACCTCTCTCTCTCTCACACACAGACCTCTCTCTCTCTCACACACAGACCTCTCTCTCTCACACACACAGACCTCTCTCTCTCTCACACACACAGACCTCTCTCTCTCTCACACACAGACCTCTCTCTCTCTCACACACAGACCTCTCTCTCTCTCACACAGACCTCTCTCTCTCTCTCACACAGACCTCTCTCTCACACACACAGACCTCTCTCTCTCTCTCACACAGACCTCTCTCTCTCTCACACACACAGACCTCTCTCTCTCACACACACAGACCTCTCTCTCTCACACACACAGACCTCTCTCTCTCTCACACACAGACCTCTCTCTCTCACACACACACACAGACCTCTCTCTCTCACACACACAGACCTCTCTCTCTCACACACACAGACCTCTCTCTCTCTCACACACAGACCTCTCTCTCTCACACAGACCTCTCTCTCTCTCACACACAGACCTCTCTCTCACACACACAGACCTCTCTCTCACACACACACAGACCTCTCTCTCTCACACACACAGACCTCTCTCTCACACACACAGACCTCTCTCTCTCTCACACACACAGACCTCTCTCTCTCTCTCACACACAGACCTCTCTCTCTCTCACACACAGACCTCTCTCTCACACACACACAGACCTCTCTCTCTCTCTCACACACACAGAGCTCTCTCTCTCTCACACACACAGACCTCTCTCTCTCTCACACACAGACCTCTCTCTCTCTCACACACAGACCTCTCTCTCTCACACACACAGACCTCTCTCTCTCTCTCACACAGACCTCTCTCTCTCTCACACACACAGACCTCTCTCTCTCACACACACACAGACCTCTCTCTCTCTCACACACACAGACCTCTCTCTCTCACACACACAGACCTCTCTCTCTCACACACACGACCTCTCTCTCTCACACACACAGACCTCTCTCTCTCTCACACACACAGACCTCTCTCTCTCTCTCTCTCTCACAGACCTCTCTCTCTCTCACACACAGACCTCTCTCTCTCACACACACAGACCTCTCTCTCTCTCACACACAGACCTCTCTCTCTCTCTCTCACACACACAGACCTCTCTCTCACACACACAGACCTCTCTCTCTCTCTCACACACAGACCTCTCTCTCTCTCTCCACACACAGACCTCTCTCTCTCTCACACACACACAGACCTCTCTCTCTCACACAGACCTCTCTCTCTCTCTCACACACAGACCTCTCTCTCTCTCTCTCACACACACAGACCTCTCTCTCACACACAGACCTCTCTCTCTCTCTCTCACCACAGACCTCTCTCTCTCTCACACACAGAGCTCTCTCTCTCTCACACACACAGACCTCTCTCTCTCTCACACACAGAGCTCTCTCTCTCACACACACACAGACCTCTCTCTCTCTCACAGACCTCTCTCTCTCTCACACACAGAGCTCTCTCACACACACAGACCTCTCTCTCTCTCTCACACAGACCTCTCTCTCTCACACACAGACCTCTCTCTCT